TGCAACTTCATTTAACAGAAGTCAAAGCAAGTCACAATGAAATCAGAAAAAAGTAGTGCAGGAACTATTTTTAAAATCGCGCTACTTCAAATCGCATTGATTAAGACAGTGCCATTGAAATACATTAGATGCAACTTTAGGAGCAATTTGTAAATCGAATGTTGCACCTGAAGTCAGGGCAGGACTAACTGAATGAAAAAAAACATAAGATATAAAAACATTTGAAAATAAAACTTAACAAACTTACAAAAATAGAATTTATGAATCATTATACTTTAAATGAATTTTATTGCCTCTTTCAGTTGTGTACTTTTTAACAGACCCCATGCAGTGCCATCTGCTGCTATAGCGTGCCATGCAAGTATTTTATGAATGACTTTACGTGACTTTGACAATGACTGGTTAAACCACTAACCCATGAGCATGATTCCTTAAGTGCCAGCAATACATGTATGGCATATTTGTAATCTCCAATGCACTCATCTTTAGTGCGGAGACAAAAACGTTTCCCCAGTTGTAAACAATGTCTTGGCACCCTCCCGTCTCTGACATGCATGGTTTATTACTGAAGTTTTTGGCTCATGCTTCCTCTCCTGATTACTGCATGAAGAAGGTGATTTTGTGTAGGTTGTGTGGATCGATGCTGCAAATGGCAATTTACATTGTGGAGTCATTGACCATATTTAGGCAGCTACAGGCAATCCAAGTCTTATTTAGCATGAAGAAACAGCACAAAATCTTTGGTTTGTTGAATCCAAAGGAATGAATATTTTTTTTCAAATTAGATAATTTTAACATGCACATATCTAGTTCTCAGTTACAATAATTTAATACATTTTGCTTCATGGCTTATTTAGAAAGATAATGTTTGAAAGGGAACATGAAGTTTTTTTAATATTTTCTTTTCATTAATTGCTATGTTCTGTACTAAAACAAAAAGTTTTTTTTTAAATTGGCTAAATGTTAAATATGAATATACTTATTAATATTTCTTTTTTTTACCACTTGCAGTCAGCAGGCGGCAAGCCCCAAGCAGCAACTTTATTGTGGTTTACTATGGTTAAAGCAGCGTAGTAGTCAAAACGAGCAAGTGAGATCAGTTTACAAAGATCTAGATTAGTTGGTTATTCACAGGGTGCCAGCAAGCATGCAGGTATTGCTGAACGTCTTATTAGAGTGTCGTGCAGGCATCCTATAAAAAGGAATTGTTGTAACATAAAAAAAAAAAATACATGAAATAAAACTTTCAAAATCATAATTTCCTTCTATGCAGTGTGCTTTCCATTTAAGGCGGTATTAAACCCAAAACCAAAAATGTAATATGATATATTGCAGCTAACCAATCATTAGATGTGGTGGCAACATTAGTTTAATTTTTTTAGTCTTTTTTCTCTCTGTTTTCACCTAGTGATCTGGCCAGTAACACACATCCTGTATTAGAGTGCCTCCACTCTGGTGAATGAGCACAGGGGCCATCTTTGGACAACAGCATTGTCAGTCTAGGAGGAGAGGAGTGTTAGATGTACTAGCAGATTTATATACACTAATTTGAAGCCAAACTCCATCTCACACTTTATAAGCAGTTACAGCAACATTTTTTTCCCTTTTGGGATAAAGGTTTTACATAAACAAATAAAAGCTGATCATTGTAAGCACCCCTGTCAGTAGTAGTCAGTAGTCAGCTACATCTGCAGGAAAGCTTGTTCTTTTGAAAAACATCAGACTTACTGGCCAGATCAGCAGGCAAAAATAACGTAAAGTTTAAGAAAAAAAAAACAATACAGCCATTACATCCAAGAAATGGTAAGCTGCAATACAATAAATGTTTGCTTTTAGATTTAATACTGCTATAAAGTAAATCTGTCACAAACCTGGGCAATTCAAACTGCCCATATGATGATGAATAAAAGAATGTGAACTGTCTAAACTATTAGTTTCAGAGACATCTGTAACATTATGGGCAGTCGAAGTTATGTGCAAATATTGACTTTTCCTGTGCAAGTCAAACTCTAGGTCTGCCACCTTCTATATCACAAACAGAATTACAGAATCTACAGAATTAACAAAGCAGAGGCAGGGAGATGCATGCACTGCAGGTCCCCAGGTACAGATTTCCCTCCAGCAAGGAGCAAATTAACAACATTTCCATGTCTCACTACAAATCTGGTGGGACAAGCAGTCACAGCTAGTAGTACCTCTGACATTACCAATAAAAAATCTTAAAAACCTTAAAAACTCTGCTTCTACAAGAGTTTTTTTGTTTTGCCTGTAGAAGGAGCTTAATGTTATCCTATGTGTGCGTGTACTTTAGGACATTTAAAGGCATTTTTTAAGCTCAGCATTTAGAGGTAGAAAAAAACCCCTGTTTTGCATTTTTGAGAGCAGTTTTCTGGAAGAAAATAAACGCTGAATGCTCCTCTAGTCAAAAAAAAAGCACTAGTTACCTAAGTAAACTGCTAAATTTCAGAATGAATTCAAGGCAAAAGATAAATCTTTCATAGTGCTACTTAGGAACAATTACTTTTTCCAGATGTTTTGTATAATATATTAAATCTTCATTTTTGAGTTCAGGTCCACGTTAAGATATTTTTGTAGAGTGCTGTTAAAGTTTGGATGGGCTAGGTTTCTGGACCCAGTTCAAATATTACTTTGAAGCAGATGCTCTGTTCAGAACAAACTAACGACAAACCATACTGCCTTCCTCCTTGCATGAAAAAAGGACCTGCAAGAACATTTTTACCTTAACAAACAGACGCACAGATATTGACTTTATCTTTGTATAAATGACAGAGGTCTTGTGGTTCAATGTAAAACATTTCTAGCAATTAGGGAAATGTTTCTGCTATAAATCATGTGCAAATGACTTAGACAGGGTTAAAAACAACTATTAAACATCAATTTACATTTCCTTTTAACCATGGTGAGCGTGGATCTTTTCAATCCCAAATTTACCTAACATAGAATAACATTTATTCTAAAGAAAGAAATTCTATGATCTTACATGACAAAATATTTATAAAGTGTGCATTTGCTTTTTTTTTTTTTAAATGTAGGCATTCATCAAAATATTCAAGAATGCATCATTCTGTCCTACAAACTCTTTTTGTTTGTGTTTATTAAGATTTGTCAAAATGCTATTTATGGTGTTTTGCTACAGTGATGTGAGTTCTAGCAATTAAGGCCCCAAGGTAACAGTACCAATCTGTCTCGGAGAATGGCCATAATAAGACTAAATTAGGTCTTTAATCAAAGATTCTTTAAAACTTTGGGAAGGGCCAGAAAATCCATGAAAATACACTTTCCTAAAATAAGCAATATTTACCATACTGGCAACTTAAAGATGGTTGTCATTTATCTTAGAGATAGGCCAAGGGAAACTTGTGAATGCAACTTGTGTGTTTAAAAGAAACAAACTAGAGCTACACAGACCTCTAGACAGAAATTGAAATTTGGCATGCAAAAAATATTTATGCCTATACACTCTATTGCTTGTCACAAGCATGACCGGTTGATAAAACAGTACCCAGAAATATTACACAAAATGAAAAAAGCAATAAGTAAATTTCAGTGAATTGTGCCAGTCTTGGTTAATACTGCAGATCGACTATGTCCCTGTTTGGGAGATTCACCATTTTGCTTGTCCATTGTCACCAAGATAGAAAGTGATGCAAAATTCACAACCATGTTGTCACAAGAATATAAAAATGTGAATACTGCGCTTATATGTGGGAAAAAATAATATATAAGGTTAAAAAAAACAACAAAAGCAGCAACAGTACTATGAGATATACTTCACAATTCAAACCATTAGATACACATCTGTTGCGCTCCTAACAACCTATACTAAATTAACATATACAGTACACAAATATTAATAATGTACATCCATATAACTACAGTGAAAAAATAGTGTATCCACCATAAATAAAAAAAATCCTCTGAAACATTGGGTGAACTCCATGCAGTGAAGTGCTGTATTGTCAAAAAAGGGCACCATGGTGATCCCACCACCTAAATAATATTGCGCTTACCAAAGGGTCCCCGGAAGATTTCACCTGTGATGAAACATGTAGGGAGGAGCTATGTGCTGACGTCACCACGCATTAGGAAGTAATGGATTTCTTTTATCGTGTATGCAGGCTGGAGTTTTATACATGTGGTTTGTGTATTTTGCAATGTAAGTGCAATACATTTTTATTAAAGAGGTTTCTCATAAAGATTTACACCATGTGGAGCACTCTTTTTCCCTTTGGCTTTCCATGGAACGGTATAGATTTAATGGAATAATTAATCGTCAGATACTTCACTCATCTGGTCAGTCTATGCATAAGGTTGGAGGCTGACGGAAGTCTAGTGGAGTCAATGATACACATATGCTTGTTTTGACCTCTCTGATTAGAGAGTCAAAACCCTTTGGTTATCTAACTGATGGGATCACCTTGGTGCCCTTTTTTAATAACACAGCACTTCGCTGCACAGAGTGCACCCAACGTTTCAGAGGATTTTTTGATTTATGATGGATACTCTATTGGACTTTTATTAAAAACCATTTGCCCTCCCGAGGATTTACTCCCCTTCCTGACCAGGCTATTTTTTGCGATACAGTGCTACGTTACTTTAACGGACAATTACACGGTCATGCAACACTGTACATAAATAAAATTTATGTCCTTTTTCCCACAAATAGACTTTCTTTCAGTGGTATTTGATCACCTGTGATTTTTAAATTTTGCGCTATACACAAAAAAAAGACCGACAATTTTGAAAAAAAAACAATTTTTTACTTTCTGCTATAAAACATATCCAGTAAAAAAATTTTAAAAATCAAATTTCATCATAAACTTAGGCCAAAATGTATTCTGCTACATGTGTTTGCAAAAAAAATTCCCAATACATGTAAATTAATTGGTTTACATGAAAGTTATAGCGTCTACAAATGGCGATATATATACTGGAATTGCAAAAACATTTTTATACTAGTAATGGTGGCGATCAGTGACTTATAGGTGACTGCGGCAGGCATTCTGACACTGGGGGAAACTGAGTAACTGCCACTGACATCCCAATGACACTAATTCAGTGATCAGTGCTAATAAAAAGCACTGACACTGTATTTATGACACTGGGAAATCTGGGGCATTCAAATGGTTAACTGTGTGCTGTTTAACATAATGTGCTGTGTGTGTTTTACTTAGAAAACATGCTGCTGTGTAATTCTCTCCTGTGCAGAGAAATACATAGCAGCATGTTACTGCTGGCAGAAGAGAGACCTCTGTTGTTTACTCACAAGTCTCTCCCCTGTCTCTCTTCCTCTGCGATCGCCGAATGCTGGCGGGGAATCTCTGGCCAGGACCTGGTGATTGACATCTGTAGCTGCCAATGGTGGCGTGGGTAGAGTGGCACACACACACACCCACCTGGAAATGCAAATCACATATATACAGTACACACACACACATGTGATTTTGCGCAGCCCTGCCACCCTGTAGCAGTATTCCTGCTATAGGGCGGCGGGGAAGCGGTTAATTTGGACTTTTTTTTTCACTGTGGTTATATGGATGTACATTATTAATATTTGTGTACTGTATATGTTAATTTAGTACAGATTGTTAGTAGCGCAACAGATGTGTATCTAATGTTGTACCGCTTTGTTGGACTTTTGGATTTATCTTTTTATTGCAGTCACACGGACGCATGGTCACTATTGGAGTATCAACCTCACAATTGAGAAGGTAGGGGAAATTGTTTGGTTCATCTGTTAATGTGACACACACAGTTAATAGGTTCTGTTTTTTTTTTGTTTTGTTTTTTTCCATCTCTTCCCCATGGCTTATGTCATTGGTGAGGATATAGAGGCTGAAATACGGTCCACATTCTCCCATCGCCCAGGGGATGGAACCACTTTAGAAACAGAAACGATAAAAAATCTCTTTTAACATCATAAGAAACTCAATACCAAATATTTAAATCGGAAATGGGACATTTTGTCCCTGGAATCATATATTGAAAATGGAATCATCCCGAGCTGACAACGGGAGAGAGTGGTCCCAGCAGAACATCTGCAAACTGACCGATTTCTCACCAAATGGAAAGAGAAATGTATCTCGCATGGGTTGGAGGTCATGAAATTGATAGTTGAGGAAGAACGAATACAGCTAGTTGAGCTCAAAAATGCCCTGGCTGAGAGTACTAAAGCATTAGAAAAATACAAGGATGACTCTGAATTTACATGGCTAAATGACCTTTTGAGGAAAGAAACCGATAAAATACAGCGTAACTTACGATCGACCAAGCAGTCTAAATTCCAACGTGATATGAACGATTGGGCTCAGGATGAAATTTTTGACTTGTCAAATACACGCAATAGGAGTAGATCTCGTCGCCGTTGTTTCCGTTCCTCTTCCTCCAACTTCAATCGAACCAGCTCCTCTGAGAGTGATAAGGGTACAACTAAATCTATTGGTTTTTTAGACAAAGAAGTCAGCAGTTCGAATTGTGGCACTCTCAAAACAGACAAACACAGAACCACTCACCCAAACGACGCTGTAGGAGGAGGAACAGGAAAAGACAAAGAAAGAGGCAGGAATCAGGGACGCGAGATCAGAAGCCAGAAAGGCAGGTGAGTTCAATTTTAGAAAAGGAAGTACCCCCAATCAGGAATTTAAAAGTTATCAATTTGTCACAATTCACCCTGGAAGAAAGACATTTAAATCTTCTAGGGAAGGGACTATCATTTTCACCAACAAGCACAATGAACCACTTTGAGGTATTCAAAGATATCAATTTATTTCTGAGGAGGGTGTATTTAAGATCTCTACACCAACAAACTAGAACCAATGTGGAAGAAACCAATGCAGATCCCCCAACATTGGGGACTGATCTCCAAGTTTTGGAGACATTGATTTCCCTTCTAGAAGAGAATCCATCAAGTCAAGATACGGTGGGTGATCTTGATACACCTTGCCTCGGAACAGCAGATTTAAAGATTAGATCTACAAAAATGCCACCTTTCAAAAAAAATAAATGGCTGAGTGTCTTTTTAGATCTAGTACAAAGGGATCTTGCCCTTGTCGATTGGAATAAGAAGGGTAAAGATAATATCACTAAGGATGAGCGTCGTGCCCTATATGAACTCAAAAATGCCCCAGACTCTGTTATTATGACGGCCAGCAGTTATGAATGTGAAATTCGATAACAACTTTTGGATGAATCTGCCTATGTAAAATTGGATTATAATCCCTTTCCCAGACTGGTAGATTTAATAAATAGGAAATTGTCCTTTGCCTGTGAGGCAGGGTTAATCTCTACTCACGAATGCAAGTACCTCCAAGTAGAGGAATATAACATCCCTATTATTTACATAATCCCAAAAGTTCATAAAAAACTGCCGGACCCCCCTGGACATCCAATCATTTCAGCCATTGGGGGCCCAATGGAACATGTAGGCAAATATCTGGATGCCTTAATTAAAGAAATGGTATTTAAGCTCCCCTCATATGTACAGGATACCCGTGATGTCCTATTTAAAACATCTCAAATTTCAGTACCCACTAATGCATTATTAGTAAGCATAGATGTAGAATCATTATATACAGTACATCAATTCCACACAGTTGGGGTATCAAGACAGTCTCATATTTCCTAGATCAACTATATCCCCAAATGGATACTCAGAATGAATTTCTAATCGAACTCTTTGATCTGGCTTTACATTTCAACTTTTTTCAATTTATGGGTACCGCCTATCATCAGGTGCGGGGTACTTCCATGAGTGCACCATGGGCCCCCGCATATGCATGTTTGCATTTGGGCTGGTGGGAGGAACAGGTTGTCTACCAGTCCAAATTATATCTTAGTCATGCGTCTATGTGGGTACGCTATATCGATGATGTGCTGATGCTTTGGACAGGTGATGTGTCTGATCTCCACCTCTTTCTGGCTGAATTGAATCATAATAATAGAAATATCAAACTTACATACGTTTTTGATAAACACCAAATTTCCTTTCTGGATCTGTCAATTTCAGTTAGGGCAGGCCGGTTATTTACGAAAACTTTCTGTAAGGAAACAGTGGCGAACACTCTCCTAATGGCGACAAGCCACCATCCTAAATCTCTCATCCAGGACATACCCACGGGCCAATTCCTTCGACTTCGGCGCAATTGTACTGACCAAGAAGACTATAAACAAGAGGCCCAAGACCTCTATTGTAGATTCCGTGAAAGGGGATATTCCCATAGCAATCTTAGGAAATCTTGGTCCAAAGCATCCAAACGTAAACGGGAGGAATTATTAACTACATCTGATTGTTTACCTATGACGCAGGAATCACTAGGTTTGGTACGCAATGGAATACAGTACGTGCAATACTCAAAAAACACTGGCACATACTCACCCAAACACCTGAGCTATCCTCAATAGTAGGGCCTCGACCTTTGTTGGTGGCCAAGCGGGCTACAAACCTAAGGGATAACCTTGTATATTCAGAGTTTACACGGCCTATTTCTAGAACTTGGCTCACATCTTTGCCCCCTCTTAAGGGAATGTACCCGTTTGGCCACTGCTCCATTTGTAGATTTGTGGAACGCACGGATACTTTCCGGGATGCGCATGGTACCAAATCCTTTCATATCAAACACTTTGCTAATTGTGCAATGACACGGGTTATCTACATGCTGTCATGCCCTTGCAATAAAATGTATGTGGGGAAGACAAAACAACAATTTAGAGTGCGTATTGGGGAACATATTGGTAGTATTTTAAATAACACTGATCGCAGTGGCGGAGCACTTTGCACAAAAACATCAATCCTCTCCAAATGGCTTAAGTGCTAAGGTCATATATGTACTGAAACTTCCCCCTAGGCAGGGTGACTTTGACACTATTCTACTCCGTAAAGAGGAGTGAATTTTCAAACTAGGATCTATGACACCTTTGGGTCTCAATAATGAATGTAGCATGCAGGTCTTCTTGGATCCGTAGTTGATATACATATCATCTAAATTCAATTCAAATTTTTTTTTTTGTATGTGGTTTTGTTAATAATTTATTTTTGATTGATTTTTTTTTTTTTGTGGATTTTTAGAGTATTTTTTGTAAATTTGTAATTTTATAAGTCTCTTTAGTACAATTATTCATATTGCTTTTCAAGTTTTTCATGAAATTTGTCACTATTACTATGTGTGTCTTATCCTATACATCCCTACATATTACCCCTCTCTTTCTAATCTATTGGAGATACATATCTTTCCAACTTTGATCATCTAATTTGTTGTGGATATATGGGATTAAAATAGGCGTTTCCTGTCTCCTGCTAAATTGTTTTATAATTCCCCTTGGTGTAAAACACTCCCATCTGAATGTCATTGGTTGATTTTTATGCCAATCATTAGTAATTATCTGTTGCGATTCTACTATTGGTTAGAATTAGTCTATCTTCTGATATAAAAGACTCCAAAAATGTGGCTGATGATCATCTGAAGAAGCACACGTGACTCGGTGGGCGAAAAGCTTAACGTCACTTCCGGGTGACACCAGCACATGCACAGTCTCTCGGACCGGCAAGTTCAAGTTGGTAAAGCTAAATTGTATGCACCCACGGCACCTTGTCCGACCCCATCAGCTATTGTGTTAGGCAAAGCCGCTCTGCTGCATACTCTGCTTATCCTTCATCTGCCTGACTTTGCTCCAACTGCCTACATATCTTTACAAGCCGGCTCAACTGCTCCTTTGTATACGCTGTATACTCTGCAGAAATCTTGATCAGTTCATCACTGTCCACATCAGTGATGGCACCACATATAACCTGACCAGCAGGACTCTATGCTGTATACCACGTGTGAAAATAGCTATTTGGGTAACATCATTTGATCTATTTAAGGAATGATTGCTTACACCTGAAAACCACTATAAAGGATTACTCACTTCCACTCGCCCTGGATCCATGTTCGTTTGGTGGCAGGTTTGAAGCTAACTTTTTATATCTGTTCAGTTTTATATAAATGATGGTCTATGAATAGGTTATTGGTGAACATACACTGCTGGAGGAATATATACAGTATACATCTAAGCTGGTACTGTGGGATCGGTGTTTACACTTCATGACCTACAATATATTGATCTCTCACTGAGATTTGCGTTGTGTGGCTGCTGGAGTGTTCCAAATTTGGCTGCATGAAGTAATTTATTATGATTTCTTTTTGGAACACTATCTCTATATTGCACACACTAGTGCAAAACCCATCTTGAAAATATAAATTGAGTCCGGTCTCTATGGGATATTCATGAGCTGTAAGCCATATTCATCACAGTTATGACAAATCACGGCTTGAACTATCTTGCTTTGCATGTATTGAGTCTA